TCCTTAACCATCTCGACTCTTACTGCGGCCGCAGCATCGGCGAGGTGACCGCGGCCGCCGCTTCTTCCTCAGCGGTCGCTGCCTGAGGCGCCACCGCCCTCCCGCCTGCCCCGGCCCGGCGCGGGCAGCGCCCGCCTTGGCCCTCGGCCGGTAGCGCGGCCCGGAGCCGTGGCTCGTCTCCAGGGCGCTCGGCCGGGAGGAAGGCCAGCCGGGTAGCTGGGGTCACCTAAAACGGCTCCTGAGGAGAGGGACTGGGGCGAGAAGGGGTTAAGATAAGAACGAGGGAAAAAAGAGAATTAGGAGCAGGAGGTGTGGGTAAAACAGTCCGGGAGACTTCAGTCAACAGCCTTCAGTGTGGAGAGAGAGAGAGAGAGAATGCCTCTGAGGGAACAGCGGCCTGGGAGGAGCCAGGCTGCAAAGAGGCGTACAGGGACTCGCCAACGTCTTCGACTTTGAGGCGTAGGATACAAGTCAAGACAAAACGTTACAGCTGAGGCTGAGGAGTCCCTAACGTTTTCCTGATCAATGGAAAGCTGTGCTCTGAGCTACACTACCTACAACAAAATTAAGCTAGTCAGACATTGTTGGTGTCTTCCCAAGATCATGAGAAGCTGTGTAGGGTTCAACATGTATTTGCATACAAATGTATGTCTTGTTTGTTACAGTATTTATCCAAATGTGTTGTTGGGGCATCACTTGAAAGCATAGGAGAAGAGGAGGAGAAAGATGAAAATGATTCAGCTGCTGAAGTTTCTAGTAGAGCAAAGGAGGGAGTCTACCAAATAGTGGGTACCCTTTCTGAACCAGAGAGTTCTAAACCATGTTTTGCAGAGGAAGCATACGCAGTAAGTGTCTTATTTCAGATTGCCATTAAACAACATTAGAAATACTGCAAGGCATTTAAAATGACCTGCATTAATAAAATGGTATTTGTTGCTGCTGGAAGCTGTATACATGCATTTTATTCCTTCTGCTTCCTGCACACTGTTGTCTCCTCCTTGCTAGGTCTGATACAAGAAATACTAAAAGGAAGGAACTCAGACTCAAAATAGATTTTTTTAAAAATATATAGTTGTGGACAAGGACGTTATCGGTCTTGATGATCCACAGGTCTGCTTGTTTTTTCCCTCAAAACATGCACCTCAAGTATTTCTCTTGTCTTCTCTGTGTCTTTTATCAACATTTTAAACATAGTGGTGTGGAATCAAAATTAGTGTCCCCCTTCTTAACTGTTCAAAATTAGTGTCCTCCTTATTAACTGCTCACTGAAAGCACAGCTTTCACTAGCAGCTAACTGTTCTGAATACCTACATCTTTCTATAAAGGTATGTCTAGAGTTTAGATAACTGAAGGAGGCTTGCTTTTACAAATGTTACTGCTTATTGCTTGATTTAGTTTTCTGAAACTAAAATTGCCTCTGTCTCAAATTGATTATCCAGAATTTCTACAAACATCTGAAAAATTTTGATTTAAACCTCTATACAGCTGAACTGTTCAATCAGAAAATTATGGCTGGCAGTGTTAAATCTTAATTACTGTTCTTGCCCAAGGTATTTGTTGGACTTGCTCAAGTGGTGCAGACAATCTGCATTTAACAAAAATGACAGGAAGCTATTTTGCAAGGAAGTGGTCATCTTTTGTCTTCCTCATTCTGCCAAATGATTATTTCTTTAAAATACCTATAAAAGTCAATAGATACTTTTTGATACAACTGCACCAAAAATATGAATCCTAAAATACCACTAAAAATTGTATATCTCTTTGAACTATATTAATGTGTGATGTAAATTAGAAGTTTCAGCATTTTACATTTCAGCACTTTACTTGTATCTGACTAAAGTTTGGTACTTGTCTTATGAATTATTCTAATATCTAGTGTTACAGAAAACTACATTCTATCAGTAAGTTAAACTTGAAAACAAAAGGAATTTGGGATATTTTTTTCTTCTTTGTTTTCAATGACAAATTCTAACTAATTTTTCTCCCAAGGTCTCTTCTCGAGAAGAGCTCTTAAGCCACTTGCTTGAGTGTGAGATTGTGTTATATAATATCACTGAGGATGCAAATCAAATTGAGGAAGCAACATGGGCTGCTTCTGGTTAGTACAGCTATCAACTGAATAGTAAATTGGTTACTATACAGCCATCAAAATTTACCATAGATTTATAATGAAATTATCTGGGATTTATCATAAATAATTAAATTATGTGGGATTTATAGTTTACTGTAATATAAAACTGGGTTCTTTGATGGAGAAATTATGCATGAGTTGTTCAATTAATTAGCAAGGAACCATGGAATACACCCTAGCATTCATAAGGTAGAGAAGCTGTCATGGAATGGTCCAACACTTTAAATGACATATCTGTGTAGGCAGTTATTTCCCTAAATAACTGTCAACCATCATTTTATCTATTTGCATTGGGAGGTGGGTAGAAAATTTGCTCCAGTGGTATTCAAATAATGTTTCAATATTTTATATAAGTATTTTAAACATATTTTGACTTAAAAGTCCAACAAAAAATACTGCCAACAGTCTTTCTGAAACTTTCTCCTGATTATTTAATCCAAAGTCTAATAGGCATCTGAAATCTTTTTATGGTGACAGTGCAATATTGTTCTTTGTATGATAGTTAAACTAAATTATGCTTTCCTGTTTCAAATATTTATACTATAATAACATCATAATTACATAAACCACATTTAATTACTTTGCTCTAAAATAAAATAAGGAAGCTTTACTTGAATTCTGTAGATTTTCTGTTTCAATCATGAAAAAACCCACCCTTTTATTTTCTTTCAGTATCTTAGCAGTCAATAAAGATTAATCATTTCCTAGTATAGATTTGGGGTTTTTTTCCCCCCATGATACGTATTCCCAATAATTTGATTCTTTATTACCATTATTTATTTGTTTTCTTTCTTATTATCTTTATTCCAACCCAAATAAAGAGTATTTGATCAAAAATTCATATCACATAGAATATTGTGGTATAAATGTCTATACAGGAGCTTTGTATAAAAGCAAAAATACAGTTTGAGTAATACTGTTTACAATTAATTAATTTTTTTGCTTTCATTTAACAGCCCTACATACGGAAATGGAGCATTTTGCAACACCAAAGTTATTCATTCTCATTTCAACAATAATGAGCTGGGCAAAAAGCAAGCTCCCTGATCCTGTAAGTAACATGAAAACATAGATGTTATTTTTTTTTTTAACTGAATATTTCCATTTAATGGAAAATATTCACTAAATACAAATAAACAAAGGATTTCAGAATGTACTTCAACAATAGCTAATAAAGTTAGTGTCATCAGGTGTGGGTTTTTTCATGATCCTTTCACCCTGAACTACTACTTACTGCCAGAATTGTTAACTTTGTTCCACTGGACAAAGCAGTTTAGGCATGGTGCTACAATAATACAGGCAGACATTAGGGACTGCTTGGACAAGAGGTAAGGCCTATGCTGTCTACAATATGTGCTGTCCTTCAGTCATAAAAAATCCAGTATTTACTATATATTTAATGAAATACAAATTTAAATGTCTAGACCAATAGATAAATAAATAGATAATAATTTTTTTATATATGTTAAATATTGTCAGGAACCACGCTATTGCAATTCTTAAATTTAGTGTTACAGAAATTTTTCAAGCTTGTTTAATGCTATATATAATAAAATTTCACACTTTTAAAAATATAAAAAGTAGTTAAAAATCTTTTACTGTGAAAATTGAACTATTGACATTTATGAAATATTTAACCTCAGGTATCAGAATCAGAGATTTTAAGAATTTCAAGTGAAAACAAAGTTAAAAGAGATGTTAAAAATATTTTTTAAAAACTTATTTTAACCATCCAGGCTTTTACAAATTGTTCTGGTTTAGGACATGTTTAACAGTCAAATTTTTTTCTTCATAGGAAGATCCTGAGATTCCTTTTACTGATGAAGATTATCGCAGAAGAAAATCTCATCCTAACTTTATGGATCACATAAATGCTGAAAAACTCATTCTCAAACTTGGGAAAACTGTATGTAAGGCACTTTTGTCGTAAAAAAAGGTTGTTTGGTTATCTTACTGAAAGTATTATCTTAATAATGGAAATTACCAACAATTTAAATAAATTTTAAAATTATGTTATTCTCTTGATAAATATGGCTAACATCAATTATTAATAAAATATGAAGTATAGAGAAGACTATAATGTGTTTTGAAACGTGTCTGCATAATACAAATACCCAATTTTGTCTTTTTTCCTTAGGTACTGAGTAAATTATGCTTACCTCATTTGAAAAATACATTGTTTCATTGGTTATATCAGAGAGAATTAGAGAGGGGCCCTGCGTTGGGAAAGACTTGAGGATGAAAGAATATAGAGGAAAGGGATATTATTAATGTAGCTTTAAAAAAAAGCAGCATCTTTAAATATTAGCAAGCTATGTTATTATGTCTCATTTAAATACTTAGATGTTCTGGTCACGCCTAGCATGTTCCTGGATAGTTTGTGTTCTTGGAGCAGAGGCCTTGTTAACTTTTATTCCACCCTATAATTCACTTTAAAAGTCATGGCCATAGAGCTGGCCCAGAATGACCAGAATATATGTTATCACTTTATATGTGTTTTAAAATCACTTCCTTCATCTTTGTTTTGACCTGATTAGACTATTAGTCTTACTAGAGAACAGACCATGCCTCTTTTGTATTTAAGAGCTATTATTAAATAAATACCAACAGTGGCTCAGATTGTGCTTCACAACTTAGGAAAATTGACACTGTTGTCATTAATGAATACTGTGGAGGCTAGGAAAGAGAACTGGAAGACTGTGAAATACACCATATGATGGTATCATTTGGTCATTGTCTTTGTGCATTAGTAGTCTCTCATAATAAATACCATTTAGTGTCCACTGCAGAAATTTATCAGGCTAATTATAGAGCAGGGGAGGAAAAAAACCCTTTATTCTGATTTGAGTATACACTCGTCATCTTATGTCCTGCTGAGAAAATAGCACTAGAAATTATATTCTATTCTAACATGGGTTTAATAGTACAGAATGTCAGTAAAATTTGGTTTACAACTTGAAAAAATCAGTGGTAAGTTGTTCTTGCTCTTACTTGTAAGGCTATGGATCACTGTCATACTTGTGATGTTAGAAACATGAAGATTATAAACAGCGTCCACCAAAGCTCACAATAACTTCTGTCACCAGTAACGCCCAGATGAACTATTGACTCAATTTTTCTGACTAGTCCAAAGCACTGAGTCACTACATAACAAGGGTGTTAATAAAATTAGCTGCTAAATGTTTGCCAGGCTGAATATCTGTTCAGAAGACAGTGGAACGTTGTGTAGCAGTACACAGTAAAACTTCTTGAATATTTTTAATATATACCTCTTGTAGGCATTTCAAAAGGAGCCCTTTTCCTCCAGAACTCCAGGGGCAGGTTCAATGGGTATCATTGCCCCTGTTTAGTTTCCATCAGCACTTCAGAACAGGAAGGCTCCAAAGCATCTGTCCTTCCCAGCAGATCAACAGTAGTTTCCTGTAGTGGCTGGAGACCTATGGATTACAGTTCTTACTCATTTCTAAATTCAGTGTCATCTAGGGAACGTGCCATCTGTGGAAGAAATTACAGTGTTACCACTCTTATGCAGAGAGCTCATCGGGAGATGCTAGGATTCAGCAGCTGTGTCAGTCATGCAGAGAAGATCTTGCACCTAAGAATAGAAGGGTTTCCTAGGCTTCATATCTGTTCAGAGTGAATTTAATGGCTGTTGTTGCTTAAAGCAAGATTTCACCACTCTGAGTTAGTGTATCTCCCACATATGTTTTGCTTAAGTTGTGAGCTAGCAGTCTTTGCTTGTTACCACTAGCAATTTTTTACCTTCACCTTTGTGGCAGGGCATTCAGGCTGTGTAGCTTTTCTCAGAAGTCACTGACTCTGGGGTCCTGCCAAATTCAGAATCCTTGGAGAAACATCTGCCTACCACAGACAGAAGAGCTCTTCATCTCCCAGTTCTGTTCTCAGTGCCATCACAGTTCCTGCATCCATTAATTTTAACCTGTTTCCTACTTCAAGCATTTTATTAGAACAAAACAAAAATAATCAAACCCTAGAACTGATAATAACAGCTAGAATGTGACATCTAGTGGCTTTAATGAATATTACAGGGGAACTTGAAGGTCTTCACCTGTGACTAAACATGCCGTGTGTAACAGAAGCTTGGCTAATAATTGTCTTATTTTTAAAATTAAGTATATCCAAGTCATCTCCAGTAATACCTTCCTCGTATGTGTGACTTGTGACACTAAATAGATATTTTTAGAGGACTTGAACCTGTTTCAGAGGTTTGTATTTCAGTGAAGTATAGCAATCAGTGCCAAACTCTAGTTTGTCTCTGTAAGTGGCTACTGCAGAAGCTACTGCAAGGTAAATGGAAGAAAACCTTATGTGTTACATTCTTCATAAAGGGAGATGATAGCACCTCCTGTACTTTCACGAGAGGCAGGTTTTTCCTGCTGGGAGGTGGAAATTACATCATGTCTTCTCCTGAGGCATGTTTGCAGTCTGTCCAGAGCAATCCTGGGAGCTGCTGCTCTTGGCTCTTGGGGTAAAGTTTCTGTCATGGTACTACCCCAGCAAACTAAGTATGGGGGGACCTCCTATGCTTTCTGTAGTGTCTTCTAATTTTAATGTTTCTCGAGTTACTACCAAGCTGTTGCATTCAACTGAGATAGTTTTTATTACAAAGTTTTATTTTTTAAGTAGATAGATAAAAATACATACACAGATACAATACACTGTCATCCCTTTACATGATGCTTTGTGGCTGTGTTCTTAGTTTTATGCTTCTGAAATACTATAAAGATGATAACGAAATATGCATTTATTACAAAAAAAAAAAAAAATCCCAAATCTGGGCATTTATTCCCTCTGCTGGTAAATGCAGGCTCTTTCACACAGTGTCATGTAGATATGTAATGTCTAGGATCTTTACAACATGAGAATTGAGGAGACGGAGGCATGGACTGTCTGTACAGTGCCAACAGACAGAGACCTTTATTGTTTTTAACACTGAGAATTTATATTATCTTCAAAGCTATGTCAGTAAGCAGGAGGCAGGCTGCCTTAAAATAATCTGTTAGAATGTATTGTGCATTTGCTGTTCACACACTCTAGTCTACACACTGATTGGCTACGCTAAAAGATTAGCTCTACTGTCGGCATCCTGGTTATCAGTCCCTTAGTTCTTTAGTTCTGCAACTCTGCATTTTCTTGTTGCACAGCTGCCAAATTTCTTCAGTTGTTCATTCTTCAGTCAAGGACATCGTCGAGCCATGTCCATTTTCTGCCAAAAAGCTCTCCGCAGAGAATTATTTAACAATTTGTTTCATCTTAAAAATTTTGAAGTGACTGGTCTGAGTTTAAAATATTTTCTTGAAGGTTTTTCTCCTTAAGATGATTTTTAAATATTTTTTTTCTCTGTATAACCATCCTCAACACTAAAGGAAGCAGTAACTTTTTACATAAACAGGCATTCAAGACAGGCAAATTCATGTCATTATGTAATAATGTTCAGCAAAAAATATGTGGGTTGATTGTGATGTGTGGTTAGGAAAAAAGTTCATGGATTTTTTTTTTTATTATATTTCAAAATGAAAGTAAAGAAATTGTAAAATCATTAATCTAGCAATTCCCACTTCTTTAGGCAGTCAAATGTAAATAAAATGCAATTTAAAAAGTAGCTTCACTGAATTTTAGAGTTACTTTTCTTAGAAATAGAAAGTAGAAACATGAGTTATCCTGTTCATTGATTTATATCTGATTTTTTGTTAACTCTTAAATATTTTTTAGAATTTCAGTTCAAATGTAGACAGGTCAATTCTGATTGAGCAATGCTTTTTTTGAACATATTAGCATTATGACTTATGAAACTACAGGATATGCACCAATTGATCTAGCTACAAATTTTAAGTGATATAATTTGCACACTTTACAAGCGCCCAAGTTTCATTGTAAGCCAGTATCCCATTTGCAGTACCATATTTTTATAAAAACTTTCTTGTTGATTTTACTTCACAGAACAAACATAAATTTCCAACTTATATTGTTGCCTCAGGACATCAATATGGAGCTGGGGAAGGAGTCTTACATTACTTTTTTAAGGTAGACATCCAGTTATTTTTGGAGGTTAATTTAATTTCTAGGTGTAAACTGCACTGGAATTGAATGCATTTTTAGTAGTTTTGGTATCATAAGCTTAATACTTTTGTGAACAAAACTGATTATTTGAAGGCTTTGAAATGTTTTAGCTATAGTGGAAGTATTTTCCACTTCTTTCGGGTCTATATGTTTTTTTAGTGTTTTACATAGTTTTTGAAGAGTATCTCCGTATGTTCTTTACAGTGATATGTCTGTGATATCAACAGAGTCAGGAAAAATATCTTTCTTCTCAACATTGTTTTCTCTTTTCCCCAAGCATTTCTTTTATTTGGAATATAAAATAACGTTTGTCAAGATCAAAGTATATTATTTTTTGAAAAGTTTATTGTTTTTAGTAGGTTGCCAGTCAGTGTTTCTCAAGAATTGTTTCCTTTACTGCAGTTCCATTAATCATTAAGGAAACTGAACTTTAAATCCTGAATATATAGATTTGCCTAGTAAACAAATGCTTCTTTTTTGGTGCCATTTAAAAGTAACTTTTTCCTCCTCACTTCTTTTTGTATTTCCAGATAGGTTGGCTTAGTGAGACTCCTGCAATGCCTGTTTTTGGAGATGGAAACAATTTTATTCCGACCATTCATGTTCTTGATTTAGCAGCGTAAGTGAAAAAAAAAAAAAAAAAAAAAAACCCCAAAATCCCCTTAGCAATAATTGATACCTAGCGAGAAAACAAATCCAAATCTACTAGAGAGTACTGAGGCTTTTAAATTGGGGTGGGTGAGTTTAAGAACACTCTTTGGCCCATTTTACTGAGTCAAACATACTTCCATTTCTTTAGTACTATATATGCCTTGTGGAAACCTTATCTGTCTTGCACTGGTGCTATGGTTTTAAGAAATGACTAGCAATGCTTGATCTAGAGTGTGATACCAGTTAACTGGCACAGAACTGGAAATGGATCATGTACTCTACAGCAGGCTAAATTAATATCTTCTACAGATGTTGGTTTTTATCCTTTGACCTTCCTTCCAAATAAAATATCTAGCTGTGCTTCTTTATTAATGAAAATATACATGAAAATGTCATGCTCTGAAAAGTTCTGCAGGATTTTATAAACTCCTTGAACTGTTTCTGAAATGCATTTAACAACAAAAGTCCAGTGTATTTCTCTAACTACTGGTCCTGACTGTACTTGCTACATTTCAGCGTGTTACAAAATATAGCAGACCACCGGCCAAGGTTTCACTATATACTTGCAGTAGATCTATCTATGCACACTCTTCAAGAATTAATAAAGGTAAGAGATTTGATTCTTTTTTTTCAGATATCTAAGGTTTTAAAAGCTATACATTTTACTGAAGAAGAAGTTCCTAGGTCTTCCTGAATTATCTTGTGTAGTAAATGATATAGAAAATTATCTTTAAATCCTCCAAGACTTCTGTCCTTTGACCAAAATAAACTGTTTGGACCTGATTTTGCAGAACTAACTTTTGCAGTATTTTCATTAACTTAAGTAGAAATTTTACCTAAGAAAAAGTTCTGGTGAATTGTTAGGGGATTCACAGTACGGTAATTATAATAGATACTCAAAGTGTTTAAAATGCTTTTTGCTTTGTTTTGTAGGAAGATACCTTGTTTTTCCAAGCATTTTGAAATTAAGTCTAGAAACAGTCTTGATGACACTGTTGAACTGCAAAGTATACACTGATAGTGAGAGTCAACTAATACAATATAATAGGAAACTTATGTAGATAGAACAAATATTACACGACCAAACATAACAGCCCAATATTTTCAATTGTGTCAAAGAGTGTTTCATGGAACAGTGTGTTAGGGAGCTCACAAGAATATGCAGCCTTTGTTTTGGTTCAGGTAAATATACTGGGTCTCACTGAGAAGTTAATAGTTGAAGAGCCATTCTGTATATGTGACCATAATGCAATTAGTCAACATTCCTATGGAAGAAGCAAAGGTCAAAATAACTTTTGCAGCTATGGTCAACCATAGGAAAGAGCATTATATAAAAATGAACACAGAAGACATTAAAAATATTAAGTCCTTAGAGGAGAAGTGTAGAGGCTATTGAAACATATTATTGGCCATATAAGGCCATTGCATGCTATTTATTTTAAAAAGATGGGAAAGAGAAAATGCATATTAGCACGATTAACCTGGTTGAAGAAAACAAGATGTCAGACTTAAAAAAAAAGTATGGTTATGTCCAGATGAAGAAGATCGAATAGAAAAGATCATGAAATCTGGCAGTATAAGCAAAAAAAACACTTGAAGATCAACTATCAAGAAAGACTCAAAATTAATATATTTTTATCAATCACTTAACAAAAAGCCTGCCAAGAAAATCTATAAGGCAAATCAATGATTATGGTATAAAAGGAGTAGACAAGGCCATAACAGAGATGCTTTGATTTAGTGGACATGGGTAAGAATTTGGAAGCCTCTTAATACTTCAGGATCTCTTTGTGGATAACTTGTTAGAGGATCTGTATCAAACTAAAGTAACTGTAGAAAAGATTATAGAATGAATTGACAAAATGAACACCAAGAAACTACGAGAATCTTATGGTATTCAATGAAGAGGTCTGAAATAGCTCAAGGATGAAATGACTCTGAATTGCTCATTCACACATATACCATTTGTTTAGCACTGTTCTGGCACTTGAAGGCTGGAGGATGATAAATATGATGCCAATATAAAAAGAGAGGTTCCTGAAACATTTTGGAAATTACAGGCCAATATGCCTAATACTGTTGGCTAATAAACAGGTATATCATTAGACATTATAATAAATTAAATGCATTAAAGGACACACAGATACATATGATCTATCTGGGAAGCATCAATGTGACTTTTGTAAAATACTCTCCCAATAAATACTTTACAAAAACTTACTTTCAAATACTTTGGAAACCTCCTGAAGTTCTTTAAGGGTGAACAAGCTGATGTAGTCTACTTGAATTTCCCAAAGGCTTTTAAAGAAGTACTTCACCAAATGCTCTTGACAAGCAGCTAGGCACCCTAAGAAAAGTGGCAGAGTACTTTCATGAGTATGTGAATGTTTAGAAAAGGAAAATGGAGAGCAGGAGTAAGTGGACAGTTCTTGTAGAGACAGGAACTTGCCAGTGGAGAGAGTGTTACAGAGAGCACTGTGGAAAGCTGTATTGGCATGGAGCTGTACCAGCCAGGGCAAGACTGGAAAGGTACATGGGAGAGAAATACCTTGAGTTACTTAAATATACAGCAGCTATTTCTAGTTTAGGAAGTCTCTGAGCTGAAAATAGTTGAAGATTAGAAGAGTATCTGGAAGGCGTTATCACATATGCTTCTCCCATTCTGACTTTCATTTAGGCATCCACTAATTGACACTGTTGGAAACAGAATGTTGGAATATATGTAGATTTGATCTGATGCTGTATTTCCATTTTTATTTTATGGAATCTAGTGGGGTTTTAGATCTATTTTAAAAGGCTGTATGAGGAACTAACAACTTCTGTTTAATGATTAAATTAAAATGGCAATATGGAGTGTTATTGGTGGCACTGATCTGAAAAACCTCCCTCATTGTTAATAGAATTAAATACTTCAAGAACCTGAAGTGAAAGTGCTGAGCAATAAAATAGGTCTCCAAACAGTTCTTAAGAGTAAGAAGTTGTACATAGAGCTTTGGAATACTTTTCTAAGATTTTGGGTTGTTTGTTTGTTTTTTGCAAGTGCTAAAGAGGAAGTGATTTATAGCAGAACAACAGTGTTTAATACTAACATTAAAGTTAATATATTGTTCTTTGATCTATTTCAAATCAGTATACTGATTTTTCAGGTATGGTGTAACATAAAATTCAAAGCACATATTTTATCTGCAGAAATCCTGTACAATTTTATCTAAGAATCTGATTTGATAAGTGTATTTTTTTTTTTCTTGATAGTGTATCAGTAAAAATGTTGGACCAGGAAAAATTGAGATGATTCCAAAAGAAAACGCATTCCTGAGCAAAGAGTTAACAGTTAGTACTTTTTCCCCCTTTATTACTTAAGTATGTAAATTAAAAGTATATAATCAAATATATAATTTCTTTTTTTTTTTTTTAACCAGAAAAATTTATCTCTAAAACATGCCTAAAAATATATACAGTGAGTTTACATGTAGAAAATAAACAAACTAAAATGTAACCATCATAGAACAGACTGTTTTGAGGAGTTACAGCCTGCTTTAGAAAAGCAGTGGAGCACTGATGTTACTGTTGCACAGAGCATACTGGAGCACTCTCACAAAACCTACACAAAATGATGATGATAACAACAAAAAAAAGTTAATAATGAGGTGCTACCAAGGCTGATGAACACAGCATACATAAATTATGTTGTATTCATCTATTTATCTGAAATAAACTCTTCATAGGATAAATAAACAAATTACAGTGCTGATAGTTTTAAGATGGTACTTGATAAATTTATGTAAGCGGTTATTCCCTGAAATTATCTGAAACTTTTGTGTTGTACAGATTATTTGTTTAATGTTTCATGTTCTAATAGTTCATGAGATTACTCAAATACACTTTGAAAATGTTTATATTTTTTAAAAGTCTGGTTTGGTTTGAGCACAAGTCTTCTTTCCCTATGCTTTTAAGTCTTTCTATTTTCATTCTTGTCGCTAGTTTGATAACTGTTCTTTTAACATGCATAGCTTCAATCTGTAAATAAATGTAGCTTCGCTCCCTCAGCAAATGCATTTGGATATGTTGCTTGTGAACCTGCGAATGGAATCTATGTTTCTGAAAGAGACTTTCAACATTAAGTGGGTTGCTCAGGCAGGACTGGTGGAGAACATTGAACAAATCGTCAATGAATACAAGCAAAGTCGAGGATTACTGGTAATGGTTTGGCATATGCTATTTTAAAGTGTGTCTTTCTTTTCTTTCCCAATAGAATTAGCTTTAAATTCTTTAAGTAAAAATACATGGAAGACTGATATAGATGCAAAATAGTGAACATAAAAACTGAAAATTAAATCCAAGAACTTAAAAAAGAGGGAATATTAAATAAAACAATAATCACTGTTCTATTTCTTTTATGCCTAAAACTGAAACCCTGTAAATGCAAATAAGCTTCCTGATGGAGAAGCTGCTATTCTGAAACTAGTTTCTGTACATAATATATGGCATTCTGGTATATTTTGCTTCAAGAGCACAGTAAGTGTATCTTTTATTTAAGCTTTTTTATACCAGTCAGTAGTTAAGCAAGTGTTTTCTGCCCTTCATATATTTAGTGAGCCAGGATATTCAATTGCAATGTAGCTTTCATTTTACCCTGTACCAAGCAACTTTGCTGTTTCATATGTTAGTTTAATATTTAGAACTTATGTATTATGTATTCATGTATAGGGGAGATTATTGAAAGGTACAGAAAAATGCTTGCATACATTCAAGTATTGACTGGTAAATCAATAGATAAACAGATAAAGCTGTTCAGCATGTCTAAATCTTATTCAAAGTTTGAACAAGGGTTCAGGAGGTGTAAAACAAACTATCATTTGAGGTTGGTTGTTAAAAGTTCCTGTGTACATCTGAAAGGATTGTCAGAGCTGTGTTTGGGTTGAACTACTGCATCTGAGTACGTATGCATGTAATTCAAAGAATTCAGTACAAAATATAAACGTGGCAAGGAGAGGGAAGGCTAGCTAGACCTTTGTCTCTGTTAAATTTGCAGAGTTTGCACTGTTAGATTTACTGAATTATGATGGGCTATTATTAATGATGCATGATTTTGAGTTTGTTGCATAACATATTTAATAAGTGTATATTGGAATCTTGATTACACTTACTCATCCACTGGCTAGGTAGGCTGAAATGTGAAATTGATAATATCTTAAGATCGTGAGGGATCTGAAATTTTTGAGGTCAAAATAACCATTGTGATGACAGCAACTCTACCTCAGCTGGGATAAAGAGCTATTGCTAGTAGAATTACTGCCACCTCATTCCAAAATTCACTGCACCCTTATTTATGAGATTGTTTTGTCTCTGATCATTCAGATACTAATAGTGCCACTATAAGTTGGTCCATGAGTCTACTAAATAGAAGTGTGAATTTTCTCTAGTGGTAAAGTTGTAAATTTAAATTAAGTAACTGTGTTACTCAAAGCTTGTGGATGATACAGGAGACAGTCAACAAGAAATAAATAAATGAATAAAACTAAAACATATTTTCAGTTTTAATTATAATAATTGTTTTTTCTACTAGTTATACTAAAAATATTGTTCCTTTCACATTAAAACATCTATATTGTTTGAATGATGTCGTATCTTTAACTTTTTTTTTTTTCCCAGCCTCTCAAAGTTTGCATTCATGGTCCTCCTGGGGTTGGCAAATCTACCATTGCTGAAGAGCTCTGCAAACACTACAAGCTACATCACATTAAGAAAAATGATGTGATTTCTGAAACAATAGCAAATCTGGTCTGTTGCTGTTTTCTAATATTACTATTATTTTAATTTCTGTGAGTTTTAAAATGATGGCATAATTTAAAAATTGGTTATAATTCCATTATTTTAGAATGGATGTCTTTTTTGACATATTGATCACTTCTGGGTGATACACTGAACTCTTTTTAGAGACTGAAGGTTGCTCAGTATCTCACTGTCCAGGAGCATACATGAAATTGTTTCATTTTTTTTGTCCTTTTATTACATCTGTGTAGAAAAGAAATTTGGCTATGAAATTTCTGAGCCTATTCATATTTCTGAAATTGTATTCAGGAGAAAATTGTGGCTTCTAAAGAACTGGACTCTGACAGTATGAGAGAAGAGGGACTAAGTGATGAAGAGGAGGAAGGTGAAAATGTAGAAGCAGCACATGAGTTATTATCTAGAATAAAAGAAAGGATGGAGCAGAATGCAGGTAGGAAATACAAAGTACTAAAATGGGATTTAGGTAACTAGTGCAATCCTATGCAAATGGAAAATCAGGAAGTAAATTGGTGCTTTCGAACTTATGCATCCTATTAAAAGCAAGAACTATGCCCTGTCCATTTGTATGTATCTTATTTAATAATCAAATGCAGTGGTTTACATCATACATTATATACCTTGTATATCATAAGTGATATATTTTTTAAACACTGTGGTACTTTTTTAATTGTAGAAGTTCTATCCTTCTACTTCTTTATATATTTTATATTTTATAATTTTTTTTACCCTGTAATTTGATATATAAGAACAATCGTATACTCAGAAGCATTAGATTTTTGGCCATATTTTTAAAAAACTTCATGTTTTCTTCTCATAACAGGGAGCATAACTTATATAATGTAAAAAGTTAGTGAAGCATATCTTTACCAAATTTTCAAAGAAGAAAACTATTCTATGAAAAAGAATTAGTGTACTGCCATATGAGATTTTGGGGGGTTTCTAAGTGCTTTATAACTCATTTTGGCCATTTCTAAAAAGTAAATAGAATTTACTGAAGCCTGTAAAGAATTTTAAAGTCTGCAGATGAAAAAGGTCCATAAAAATTGCCATTACTGAAAAGTACTAATTATCATCTATATATGGACGAAGTCATGCAATTTTTGACTTAGCGCCTAACATTTTTCATGCTGTATAAAGTTATCCTCCTTATAAATGCAATCTGTCACTGAAGGTTTACCTGATTTGGATCTTGTGTATCTGCAAAGCAATGAACTTGTAATGCACCCAAAACCTTCAGTAATAAGATCTATGGCAGCATCTCTTCTGCATGCCTTGCTTTGTTGTTTAAAATAATAATGCACCTTTTAAAATAGTAACAAACTTTTATGATTAAATGGTTTATAAATATTTAAGACTTTTAAAAGCCGGAGCAAAATAAAGTAGGAAACTGGAGTCAATGGTTGCAAGAGGACAAAAAAACCATGTCAAACCAAGCCAAACATTTTACTCCCATTTTGCTCAACCATGTAGGCCAAGTTAATGAACCATGTCATATCTCAATCTATTAATATGAAAATGAAACTTGTAAAGCCTATCTCATGTGTGTTTTGCAAGACTATCTTTAAGTCTTACTGTTAATTGTAAATAGAAAATAATTTTGCCACATTTTTTTCTATAAATATTTCTTTGCTACTTCTAGTAAAATCTGATTGCATTATTTGAAAAAAAAAAAAAATGTTTCCTGTTAAGTGTCCTTAAAGTTTTAATATTTATATCCTTGTAAACACAAATGTAACTTTATTTTATAGCTACCATTTACATTCAGACAACATGTAATACATGAATAGTAACTCAAAATACATACATTTTTTAGGGTAAGATAGAAGTTTATCTGATAAATTAATTAAAATGTTAGTAAAATAATGTCAGATATCTCTTTTCCATAAACTAAGTACCTAGTAACCTTTTTTGTGTCTTAGGTTGTCTAGATGATCAGTATGTTATTAAATTTATGAAGGATAAGCTCAAATCTATGCCTTGTAGGAATCAGGGATATATTTTAGATGGGTTTCCAGAGTCCTATGACCAGGCAAAAGATCTTTTTAATTGTAAGTACTGCTGCTTTTACTTTTATTGCTATCATTATTGTTCCCAGTGCCACAGTAGTTGAAATGTGCCATCACTGTAATGACTGAAGTGCAGGACATAAAAAAAAGTTGTTTTCACCTGATGCTTAAAATGTAAGAATGATTGTAATGCACCTTATTTATTTTAAGCACAAAATACTTTTCAGACTATCTCTGCTGGCAACTTACTAAGTAAGTGCATAAATATGGAGGATGCTCTCTTGTTCTGTGTTGGTCTACTCCACTCAAGCAAGCTCTAAGGCAGAATTTCTTTATAATATTTAAGGGCTGCTTAATGAAGGGACCCAGCCAGGTCACCAATACATGTTTGGTGAGCCAGATTACAGTGAGTATATTAGATCAACTACAGTAGGTGTGACTTCAGAGGAGCTCTGTGACATACATTTCAAATTGTGAGCAAGCACTGTCTGTGCATTAAAACCAAGAATCATCTTCGTACATAAATTATATCATGAAGTTTGATGGAAAACAAAAACCAGTCTTGTTCAGTTTAATATGCTGGGCTGTAAATTATCATGCTCTTCAGGCAGTTTTACTGACTGTTCAGAATGGCAGACAGTGGCACAAACTATTTTAATCATACTACTGTAAAACATTTCTACTCACTGTTCTGAGCCCTGTTTCTGGTTTTGGCAGAATAATTTACTTGGCAGGAGAAGAGGCCAGAGTCAGGACAGCAGTATGGACACATCTTAAAATTCTGTAGGCATGTGCATACTTCTGCTATATAGGCAAACACCTGCTAGTGTCCCAAGGTAGAATTCTGGTGGCTGCCAGTGTGAATTACTGAATTCTCCAAACTGGTGTCCAGGTTAGATTAATTTCCAACAATTAGTATAATTTGAATATAGAGAAATCTGTGTTTGTACTGGGCACATTTTTAGTAAATATAATGATATTGTTACTTCAAATGAAAATCTCAACCATTTCTTTTTAGTGGAAAGTGAAAATGAAGAAGGAATAAAAGGCAAAATACCTAAATGTGATGAATTAATCACACCTGGTAGGTTTGATAGATTTCTTTTTAAATAAACTGAGGAGTTTTCAAATACTGCTGCCACCAACGAGAAGTCTAAAATATCACTCCATCTGTTCATATTTAATTTAACATAAAATAAATATCTGATTTGTGTAAAGCTGCTGCCCTCTTCTTTGAAAGTGAACAAGGAGGGGGGCTGTGTCTGTGCTTGATTCTGCAAATTTCTCTCTGATGTCAGAAAAACTACTTCCTGGCTTTGTTAAATTAACAGGTTTCAGTAGTCTTGAGTAATGATATAAATAGAAATATCAGAATATATTGTGATAAATTATATGAAGTCATATTTAATAAATACAAATTGATTGTTGAGTTAATAAAATACTGCGAGATTCATCCTAATGAAGCCAGAAATATAAGACTTCTGAAGTGAAGAGAGGAGACGGGTTTTTTATGGAACCTTGAAAGATTTCTGGTGGTTTTGTCTACCAGTAGTACTAAAATAACATTGACACAGATTTATGGTGTATGGTAGCATAGTATCTTTAATATACCAGTCGATTTTTTTTTTAAATTTACTTGAATTCAGCAGATACATCTTTCTTTGTGAGATTAAAAATCACAGTACAGGGTGATGACTTTTGATAACTTGAAAAACAAATGAGTTGTTATATTCTCCAGTGTATCTTGCTGCTCTGGCTGCACCACTCATAGAATTTTTTTTCCCCTCATATACTTATTACATGTATTGGTTGTATGATAGCTTTCTCAGAAAATTTGGACTGCATTGCTGTTCTTAAGATTTTTGTTCTGTTTATTGCAAAAATAGTCTTGTTGAGTGCTAAGAAAGAATTTGGTAGAACTGGAACATGTAGCTTCTTTACAAACATGTCTCAATATCGTTGGACTGCTCTGACTGGAGAAGTTGAATATAAACATTTGATAATTACATTCTCTATAGAGATATATACGATTCACATCTATTTACATTCAATTGTGGTTTAAATTTTACTAACATAAAGTAGGTAAGAAAGAGGAAAAACAATAATATATGGGACCTGATAATGTCTTCTTCTTCACAGAATTTGTTATTTCTTTGAGCGCATCTGATGAATTCCTTATAAACAGAATAATACATCTGCCAGAGAGAATTGTTGCTGGAACTCATTATACCCAGGACCGGTTCCTGCAATCTCTGAATCTCTTCAGAGAGTTAAACACAGATGATAAGACTGTTCTCAACTATTTTGATGAACTTGAAATACATCCTCAGTTTATTGGTATGAAATAATAAAATGAGTAGATAAAATATGAGTAAAAAAATTTTGTTGTTAGAAATTTAACACTTGTGAAGATCATATAGTAAGTGTACATATATAAACAATGTTTATATTATTAATCTTCATGTTAATATGTTCATGTTAATTAACTGCAGAATACATATACAACAAGCATTTAATTATATATCTGCAAAATTATCTGTATACACATAAGGATTCTGAATTATTCTCTTACAGTTAATGTGTTTTAAAAAGAGGCGGTTTAATTATTCAGTTTTGTAGGCTAAATGATCAAAATAATTTTATGACTTAAGTCACAGCCCTCTGCCATCCTTCCAGATTGGTGTAATAGTATATTTTCATGGACTTTCAATATTATAGTGCTTTAGACTTATCCTCAGATGCCATAAAAAGTATATAGGTCATCTCTAAATGTTGAAGCATAACAGAAAATTATTAGAAAGTATTAGAAATTAAAGGTGAAAGACTAGGACTGTTTTGCATTATACCTGTATGTGAGAAAACTTGTTTTCCCTACACACTGTCTATAAAATTGTGATCACTGGGATTATTTAAAAGCAGTGAGATCAGGGTGTCAGCATTCTTAAGAAAAAGGAGGGATGTGGGGTGTTGGGGGGGTGAAGAAAAGAAGGAACAAGGGGAAACCCTGCAACTAAAATCAAACTGCTGATATTAGGAATGTCCAACTGAGATGAGTTATGAGAAGTCAGTTGTTGAATAGCCTCAGTCATAATTGATTTCCTACATTTTTTTTTATTTATCTCCATTAATCAAGGAGATTTTCCTTGAGAATAATACCATACATGTGGTGTTAGGAAGTGTAGCAGTGGAAAAAAGCAGTATGTTAGTATAATCATTTTAGAACTGAGGTAATTCTGCTACAGAAAGTAAGTGTAAGAAATGGTAGATGTTAAGGTCTGATGCTGTCAATTGGTCATATTCTTATCTTACACACTTCTGGACAAGCAAGTAGTAGCCCTGTCCAAGACCATGTTTTATTTTGGTGGGGACTATAAGGTATATACTCTATGGTAGAATATTGCAGTGTTTTCTGCTAAGAATTATGTCCAATTACTCTTAAACTCTAGTCCATTCCAAATAAGGAAACTCACTGACCTACTAATTTTAATTATTGAGATATCACAACTGTGACATTTAGTGACTTACAGATGATGTTCATATTGAGCTTATAGTATTGATTCCCATCTTCAAAGGAGCATCATCTTTAGGTGCTGTTTATCTCAGGAACTGCCTCTTTACCTATATTCACATTACTAATCGTTACCTACTGAAGTATGAAAGCATATAGCTTTCTGTTGTAAAACGGTAAGGACATATTACAAAGGTAACTTCAGTGAGGAACCTTCAGCTCTGCCAATACCCCTCCATTCTAGCTGATGTTCCAGCTGGATTATCAGATCCATAGAATTAAGTAGCATCAGATTTAAGCAGAAAGCCAACTTTCTCAGTTATATTCTCAAGGAACTTAGTGGGGAATGGTTAAAAAATTGTGCTTGATTTGTTAAATATTGACTCAATCAAATCTTTTTTCCACCTTAGTTTTAGAAGACCATTACATATGGCTTTATGAATTGCTTTTATAATTATTATTTTCTCTGAGTCTGAAATGTGATTAATACAAAGGAGTGGGCTTTAAGATTCTGGGAACCCTACCTTGCTACAGTGACTCACTGCATGAAGTCTGCAAGTCAGTTATCTTGTGTCTTGTTTTTCTCATTTGTAAATCAGGGATCGTGACAAAGGCATGTTAGATCATCTACAAAAAGGCATGTTAAAGTTACAACAGCAATTTCCTTTGAAGATCTTAATTTATTAACTCATTTTCTGGTGATCTTTCCTCTCAATTCCCATCAGTGCTAACTTCATTTTTTGTTTAAAAGGTGTTTATTTTTGAGGATAAATACAGTTAATTATGATTGCTGTAATACTTGCATTGTAATCTTGCTTGGCCATCTAAGAAAAAAATGCAGTCTCTGAGACTTCAAATGCAATGCTGAGAGAGTTCTTAGCAATACTTTAAATGACTAGAGAAGTGTTTTGCACTGCAATGTTTATAGCCAGATGCAGGTAAAATTACAGAAACAATGGACTGCTTGACACAGAAAATGTATTATTCTTATAATTTTGAATACTTCAGGAATGTAATTCCTGATTTTTTTGAAAGCAGAAAGAATCTTTAAAAGAAATATTATGATGTGGAATTATGTTAGCTTTTCTTCTCAATTAATTAGCAGAGTTTGGACTTCAGGTCCAAATCAAAAACACTTGAACTCTTGGAATAATGGTGTCAGTATTGGACAACTATCTTTTGTCTAAATTAGTGATTAGAAGGAAATGGGAAGCATGCTTTGCCAATGGCTTTCAAAATAACTTCATAAAGCAGAGGACTGTGAAGTAGAAACTGCTGGATTCTCATCTAAATTCTGTATTCTAGTTGTTCTGGTGGTTGTTCTGGTTTTTCCCCTTCCTCTGCTTGCTTCCTTACCCACTTGTGTGCCTTTACATCTCCAGTCCCTCATCACTGAACAAGCCCTTTATCTCCATAATCTCTGGATACCTGAAATGCCCACTTTTCCTCTTTTCTGTGCACATTTCTATACCCTTTCTGACAGATGCCTTCCCACACTGAATGCATACACAGCCTAGGAAGCCCCAGAGATATTTTTCTGTGTTTTTTCTTTTACTTATTTTTTTACATGCAAGTAGCCTCTAGCAATTAAAAGGAAGAAGGAATTAAATGAAGGAGGAGGCCTTGCCGAGACTCTCTGTTCCTACATGAAGCTACAGATTTGTTTTGTAGATAAAACACAGTAAGAGTTCAACTAGAGATAGGTCTGTGTATTTGTAAATCTGTATGAGAGAAAACTTTGGAGTTTGTTGCCAAATCCCAACAACCTATTGTGTAACCTGTCGGGGAGACAGGGTCAAAAGCTGATGATTTTACGAATCTGGATAAATTGACATAAGATTGGTGACAGGAGCATCTCTGATAGTTGAATTACCATTTTTAAGTTTCATAATTTAGGCAAGCTGCAACTGATAAACAGAATAATTGTAAAAATTATTTTAATACATTTCTCCCTTACATCATCTTAAAAAGACAAACTATTTTAGCTGAAACTAGTAAAGAAAATCAGATGTAGAAAACTTAATTCTGTGTAGGAAAAAATTGACATTTATAAGGAACTGCAAACATCATCTTATACTTGAAAAGCAATGTGAACACCATATATTTTTAGGTCTTGCAGTTATTTACTAATGTCCATTGATAACTGACAAAAACCTTGAAAAGTTCTCTCTTCTATTGCTTAAAAGATGTAGCCAAATTTGAAGACCCCGAGAACAGATTTATTGTAAAAGAGATCATCAAAGAAATTGGGGAACCTCGGAATTATGGTTTGACAGATGCAGAAAAGGAGAATTTGGAACGCAAAGCAGCTGAGGACCGCCTTCTCAAAGAAGCTCAAGAAAAAGCTGAACGAGAGTGTAAAGAGGCAGAAGAAAGAGCTGAAAGGATGGCAAATTGGGAAGAGTGGGTAGGTTAATAATTTTTTGGGGGAAACCATTATTATTTAGGTTCATATTTTTTGGGAAACGATTATTATTTATGTTTTAGATGGCTTCCAGCAATCTGTTATGTAAATACACTTGGAAAGTGGTGTTGTAAAAAGGATAAAAGAGCAAAAATTTAGCAAAAGACAAAAAGGCAATGTTTCTTATACGATCTACAGCTAAGAATCTAAGTTGTGTTTTGTAACCAGAATCATTACTGCTATAAACAAATTTATGGTTACTTAGTTTTGAGGTAGAACTACTGCATTGTTAAGATTTATGACCAACAGAATGGTGATCTGAAACCATGCAGTGGACAGTCTCCATTTTTGTGTCCTTTAGGTGATTTTAGCTCATTATAATATGAAAGCCACACCTCTATATCTTAAGCTACTCACCTCTTCATGAAGCCCCTCTTCCTTTAAGCATACATACATTAATAGGTACATACTTTAAATGAAAGTGATAAAAACTCCTAGCCAATAGCTGATACTGTGATAAAATACTAACCAATAGTTATGTATAGAGGCCTGTGTTTTTGTGTTCAGAATCAAGTAAATATAGAGCGCATTTATAACTTGGTGTGCTGGCCACTTCAGATGCTTAGCACCCTTTTCCGCACAGAGCTGTAATAAATACAAGTATCTTGATTCTGGGTGTTAATTGGCTCTTTGTACACCGGGTGAAGAGCCCTGGGTTAGGGACAACAGTATGGCATAAATTCTCTAGTTCTATATATCATACTTTTGATTTGGGTTAGACTATTGACTTGTGGAAACATGACTCCACAACCTCTAAGGTTATAAAGTAGGTATGTTTATTCAGCGCTGAGGTGCACAGGGGATCGCTCCACCACAAACGTGTGCACCTCTCGTGGCACCTTGTCTTGGCTTTGTGCTACAAAGCATTACATATTCATAATGTGCCTATACATATGCATGATCTATCCCTGCTTCAGATTATAATGAGCCTGAAAGTCATCTTCATATGTTCTGCCCCAGTCTCCTCCTAGTTGCGTCTGCGTAGTGTGTCCCAGTGGTCGTGGGCTGGGGTCGCAGAGATGAAGTAGCTCCTCTTCCTCACTGTTGAACTTTTTACCTTGGTTTCTTGCACAGTCTCTGTAGCCTCTTGGACTCAGGCCAGACCATAGGGTTGGTTTTGACCAGTTTTTAGGGCTGTCTTCCTATTCCATCAGGAAGCATTCTCTCACAGCTTCCATCAATCAAGGTTTCCATATTGTTCTGCTCTCTGGCCCATCAATTATGATCTATTATCCTATTTTAATCTTAGTTATCTTTTAACTAATAGGCCTCTAGTCCCTAGCCTGATCTCTAAGTCTTCCATCTTTATCTCTAAGCTATACCTTCATTTCTTGAGTGCCTAATTTCTATAACCTATTTTAATTTCCTAGCTCCTCATTTCACTATCTTCATAGTGCATTTTGAGGCCCAGTCTAAAGGATATAGTCACTTTTTGATTACAGACATGGCATTTTTTTCATGTGTCTTTAAAATACTTATATAATGCTTTTTGTTGTTGCTGTGCTGTAACTCTTTCATTTTACCATTTATAAATATCTATTACAATCTATGGTGGTTTTCCATAACCAGTCTTCTAGAACTTTTGCATTTTGATCACTTCTAAGCAGCTGACCAAGTCTTAATTATCACGCCTTTCAAACAAGATTTTTAACTCAACATTATTCAATATTCCAGTCTGCATTGCAGAAAGGTTTCTGAGCCTGCAAGAGAAACGCCTTTGAGGGCTGAGTCCTCAGTTCAGTGAGGACTACCTGACGCAGTCTGAAGGATGCTTTTTGTTTGCTAATAAGTACTTGGTATTCAGGCCACCTGACCTCAAAGGATTTGCACATGATGCTTTTTCCTTATTTACTTTGACACACCTAAGGACATTTTAGGTAAATAATCTGAAATGCATACTATAATTCACACCCAAACTCAGGTTGTTTCACCAGAAGGCAGTTCTTCTATTGTCTTCTTTTAGAGCTATTTAAAAACAAACTGATCATTCCACAGAGAAATCCTTTTCCTACACTTGAATGCCCATACACATCCATGAGGAAATAATACCCTGAAATTACTCACTTTTAAAGAAGCACTTACAGTGCTCTGATGTTGGCTTTTAAATAAGTTTTCTTTGTTATCTCTGTGCTTATTTACAGCTTAATTTAACATGAAATAGTATTATGTACTTGCTGTAAACTTGTCTAAAAGATTAGTAAGGGTAATTCACACATTTTTAGCTTTATTTAATCTAAAACCATCTGACTTTCAAGAGTGCAAACTGTGCATTATTCAAAACTAAAGTAGGTGTTTAAATACAATGTGTGCTTAAGTTTACCCTTTTAAATAGGCAAATGCTCAGGAAATCTAAGCAACTATTAATTTGCCTTTGAGACTCTAGATTAGTTTCTGTCTCCTAGTAGTGGCCAAAACCCACTTGCAGTATTTATTCAATAGCACTCCTGGATTGAGTGAATAAAGTAAATATATTTTCCAGATACCAGTATGTCAATTTTATCTGAACATTGCTTTTGTGCTACACCTTGAGCATAGAAAAGCAGTCTTCAGAGTTATCATCTGCTTGCTGTATCTATATATGACTCAGGCTACTGAAACAAAGAAATTAACCGACAGAATCCAATAGAAGTGTTAAGCAGGTATTCTTTTATTGGCAGTGCTGGGGTTGACCTGGGGATTCTCCACCATAAGGGCTCCCAAGAGTTAGCAAGGGACATCAGTTTACATACACACAGATCATAAATATTCATTAGATTTTCTAGAAAGGTGTGTCTTATGATAATGAGTTCCCAGAATTCATTTGCATAATCTGAGCATGTGTAGTGAAAATAGGGTGAGAGTCTTCGGTGGTTGGGGGAGGAAGTAAGTAGTCTTCTTCACAGTGTTGGCTAGTTGACCCTCTCTCCAGAGCGTGTGCTGTGAAGTCCAGGTGTCTCCCTCCTAAGCCAGCAAAATCAGTTTCCCTATAACAGGGTCTCGGTGTCTCTTTGTTAGAGGCCCCCATAGCTCATTCTAGGAGTTGCCCAAGTGTCCACTGAAGGCCTTGAGTCTGCCACCAGTGATTTACGTAGGGAGCCTAATGAGCGTTTCGATCTTACCTAAATGGACAAAGGGACCTAAGGAAACAGTTGAGGAATCAGGAGTCCTTGAGAAACAAATGAAGCAAAACACAAGCAAAGCTTTGAAACAAATGAAGCAAAGCACAAACAAAGCTTTCATACATCACATTATAGTTTAGTCTTAATAATTATTAGAAATTAATTTATTTGAGCCCTTCATTCCCTTTCACTACTGAAGAATGAGAGAAAAAAGGACAATACAAATATTTTTGAGTAATCTGCTGGCTAAAACTACTGCAAGTATGCATGGTATTAAGTGCTATTAAAGGGAAAAAAGAAAAACTCACAGCAGTTTTATTTCCCCCATCCCTCCTACTTTTTGAGTGTAATAACTGTATCAGATTTAACCTGAATCCAAGAATAAATGTAGCTGGTGTAAACAAGTTGTAATTGACTGTGGGTTTAGTCTATTTAACTCTCACCCCCCTCAAAAACTGACATCAATGAAATAAAAAACAAACAAACCAACCAAACCTAAAAGAAATAAACAAAAAAACCCAAAACAATTTACAGTTCCTTAAAGAATCAAATTTTCTTTCCCCTCCAGTTCAAAGAACCCTAAGAAACCATCAGCATTTGTAATAGTACTAATTTTTAGAGTGTATTCCAACCATCTTGCCAAATATCTTACAGAAATAGGGCCACTGGAAGACTTCAGAGTAAACCTCCTTTTATGTGTTAAAGAGAGAAGAAATAAAATTATTTTACTAAGGAGATTATTTCAGTTTTCATCATGTTCAATTCTTTTTCCTCAGTATGCTGTTTACTCTAAATTTAATAAGCAGTTTACAGTTTTTCCTATCAAGTTCTGAGTTTTAACATTCTGTCCACAGCTTCTAACACTATATTCTTCTCTAGGTCACCATTATTATTTAGTCATGTGCTATCCGGTTGATGTTATAAACCTTATTTTTTATTCTTTTGTTAATTATTTGTAGAATAAACATCTGGAGGAGGTGAAAAGACAAGAACAAGAGTTATTGGAGGCCCAGTCTCTTCCACTACGGAACTATTTAATGAAGAATGTCATGCCAACACTTATGCAAGGGATAAATGAATGCTGTAGGATCAGGCCAGACGATCCAGTTGATTTTCTGGTAAGAGATGATTATGGGTTTTTTTCTTAAAGACATCAGAATATTCATGTAGCCCCAAAGAATCTCTGTTAACATAAGGATTTGAATTCTTTTTCCCCCACTGTCATGATAACAACTAATAGTATCTGCAATTCTGGTGAGCAGTAATTATTGTGAAAATTAAAACCCCAGCAACTACTTTTATGGGATCAGCTGATTCTGTGTATAAAGTAAGGGCATAATCCAACTTTGCTCAACACTAACAGGACAAGAATCACTACCAGAATCTGTTTCTCCCTGCTCTGTGCAGTCTGCACATCTTATATACCCTGCCAATTCTGCTGTGACATAGAAAATGCCTGCAGAAAGGCGGTCATCACTCTCCATCCTGCTTACACCCCTCTAGGCACAACAGAACACTTTACTGTAATGATGAATGAATGCTCTTTGGTAATTCTCCTCAGAATACACAGATAAATTAATTAGTAAATCCTATAAGACAATCATATAATAATTCCTCTTGCAAAAGACCTCAGGAAGTTATCTAGTTCAGCTTTCAGCTGGAAGCAGGGGCAGCGTTACATTCAGACAAGAATTCAGATGCTGTAAAGTTATTGCTGTACTGCTGTTCCTCTTGAATTTCCTAATAACATTATTAATAAGTTATTGTTGTCCCTCAAACAGGGTTTGCTACCCGATTTGCAAAAGCCAATTTCACACACAGAGCTGAGACAGCAGTTTATTCCATACTTGTGCAAAGCTGGGTGCTAGGTGGTAACTCCGCAAAGCTAGCACGCTGCACAAAGGAACTACAGCCTATTTATCCTATTACATGATTAGTAAAAACCTATCTAAGTTTACACTCATTGGTCCATAATTACCATTCCACTTGCTATCGGTTAGTTATATTTAAATTAGCCTCTTGCCATGTAAATTAGCATGCATACTCCTTGAAGGGGGTGAGGGTGGGGGGTGGCAGAGGGCAGAGGCAAGGTTTTTTCACTCCTGAAGTGAGTGGGTGGTTGTGATCTCCCTCTGCTACCTTTATTTCCCTCTCAGTTTCCACAGATTTTTGCTGACTTCATGCTTCTTGGGCAATCATCCAGCCTCTGGTGTCTTCTGGGGCAGGATGCTCACCTCTTATCAATCTTTTATCTCCTATTCAATGGTGAAGTCGTTAGCAAGGCCTGGATCTTATCAGGTTCACACAATATAGCCAAGAAGTTGGCCTTACACAATGATTAGTGGTCCATGTGCTTGATGAGAACCATTTGTACGGGCTTCAAGGATACACTATCACTGTTTTAATGAAACAAACCCCAGTTTATTAACCAAACAAAAGCTTAAAATGAAAGTATCAGTGTTGCCTGCCACTTGCGGCACAAAGGAGTATTAAACTGTTTTACGGTTTTTGCTTACTGATGAGTGACAACTACCTGTAGGAGCATTGAGATCTTCCCTACTAACTGTATAACTTTTAAAGACCTTTATTATCTACTCGTCTGGGTCCAGAAATCAGGGCCTAGGGTACTCCCCAGGATCTTCCATGAAGTGACAAATAGTGTAATAATGGTTCACTTCCTTCTCCTGCCCACAATAGAGATGGGGTGACAATTACCAAGAGGGAGAATGAGGTGGATGGTATTTTGGATGGTATTTGTGGGGAAGGGGTATCTGAACAGAATCTGGCAGAAATTACATTGTTAGAGCCATTTAATACTTTCTGCAATTTTGTTTAAAGCAATGTTATTCACTGTATTTTTGTTATTTAGCATAAATTTTAAAATTGGAGGTTTGAAAATAAGTGTAACTGAAACTTTTCTGTTTATAGGCAGAGTATCTCTTCAAGAACAGTACTGATATCGAATGAGATATATATTAAATCCTAACAGCTGTAGATATTGTGAAGTAGAAAGTGAGAACATTCCTAATGGATTTTAAATAAAAATACTTAGTTTCTGAATTTACTTTTGTTTAGGCTTATTGTGTAATCTCCGTTTTATTTCTCATACTACTACTACATTTAATATTCCTTCTGCAAAAGTACCATTTACTGCACGTACTGATCGATACAGTTACACATCTGTATTGTATGTCTCTGAAACTGAACAATAAGAATGCCTTCTTTCTACAGAATTGTGTTACTGGACTTTTTCGGCTACATATTCTATTTGAGCAATATATTCTTGATCTGATCTGTAGTGGATATAGGCAGCTAGCCTGAGAAAAACTTGTCTTCACAAAAAAACAACAACAAAAAACTGTTTTCACTTAAAATGGAAATAAATAGAAGCAGCAAGCTCTCTTATTTCCACTCTGCACTATCAGGAAGCAAGAAGTCACACAACATAGTCTCCTTGAGCTGCACTGAAGACTGGATGGTAAACAGTTTCTTAGCATAGGATTGTCATAAAACCTGGGGTTTTCTTTGGTGTCAAAACAAATGGGTAGTTCTCATTTAATTATCTTCATAATTCAATATTTGGTGTGTTTTTTACCAATTATTGAAGAATCTAGACTTTCCAGCATGTGGCTGTCATTCGCTTTTTTATTTACTTCATGTACCTCTCACAGAAACTGTCAATATGCTGACTGAGCAGAAAGTGATAATGTATTTGGTGTGAAACATACAGGAGTTTGTCAAAACAAGGCAAGGACTATCTGGGAGAAGGGAAGGGGGAGAAAGAGGAAGAACTTAAGGAATGTTCTTGTTTTATCCATTAATTTTAGATTTATTAATGCCCAATGTTCTTATTCGGATATGTTAGTATTTTTACAGAGAAACAGTCTTACTTGTGTTCACAATCACACAGCCACATCAGTGATAATAGCCAGGAGCAGAGCTCAGAACCACCATCTCCTACTCTTAAATAAACAGATTTCTTTGGGATCTAAATTTCCAATATATTGCCAGTCTGAATTTCCATTTATCATATAAAGCACTTGAAGATGAAATAATCTGGAATTTTAGAAAAATTTAGTTTGAGAGTCTTTTTGAGTCAAGATGAGAACAGGACACTAAAACTTTTTGTGTTGACTTACTGTAATACATTTACTTTTCTAATAAATTTTTGAGCTGATCTGTAAAGTGTTACTTTTTTCTTTAATTTTTTCTGAAATTTATGCATTCTATCACACGCAGAGCTTTCAAAAGCAATTACTGGAAAGTATCTCTTTGCTTTGTGTGGGGTATCAAAACCAAACCAAGCCCGATGCAGGGAACAAGGTAAGCAGCGAGCTACCTCCGAACGGGAACCCTACGCTTTTCCAGAGGCACAGAGCGGGACCGTAGGGCGCTGCGCTCGGCCGGTTCCAAACCCCGCCGTGGGGAAAAGCCGGCCTTGTGCTTTGGCCTTGCCGGCTGTAATCTTGCTGGTAGCCATGAATAATGATGTGGGACGCAATTTCATCCCAGTTTCTTCGCCGATTTCCTTCACTCCACCCCCTGCTTTTTTTTGTTGTTTTTCCCCCTGTTTCTCGTTTATTTTTGTCTTGCTGACGTTTTCACGGCTCCGGGTTGAGACGACAAAACTTTCTGTTCCTCAGGTCCGCAGTCCATAATGTTAGTATTTTATTATCCCATATAAGTCGAGGGAACCGGCGATGGAACCGGTGAACAAGTGGCTTTTGAGAACAAGGCATGTTTATTTTATGTGCTCGGTTCGTTTTTTTGGTTGGTAGTGTTTTGGGTTTTATTTTGCCATTGAAGGAAAAATACAAACAATTTGGGATTATTCACTATTACGCTACTATTATTTGGGATTATTCAGTGTTGTTTTAAATGTAAACTTTATGTGAAGAATAACAATGTTTGCTTGTTGTGCTTGTTTTATCCAGTCTAAAATAATGCTAAGTTAGTCGTGGGTAGATAATACAATACAATTTTTAAGAGTTTATGGCAGGAAAAATAGTGAGTGAATGCAGAAAGGAAAATGGTTATGTCAGGTAGTTTCTAATGCTCATATGAGGCTGCAATGTCTTTATAGATAAGTTTTGCACATGTTCATTACGGCAATGAAAAATTACCAGAAACCAGCTTTGAAGTTGGCTAGGCTTTTTGGCTTCAGGAAAATGAGAGGGTGTTTACTCTGCCTGCTTTTATTCTTAGTTTATTTTGTTGTGATTTTATAAATTCTAAATGCTTAATAACATTTTAAAGTTTGGGCTACTTTTATGAGTTGTAATAATAGTAGTCTTCAACTTTGACAAGTCTGAAATGACTTGATAATGTTTATGATACTTTAACTATAAACTCTTAAATAACATTAGTTACATTTCCTCGAGTATATTGCCATATAATGTTTATACTGAAAATAGCAACTTCCCTAATACAGGAGGTTTAGTTAGGACAAGCAAAGATTTTTTGGGGGTTCTGCATTTGTTCTATCATTTATATGTATGGAGTGATTGACTTTACAATATTCGCTTTGAAGTCTTGACTGAATAATACAATGCTAGTAAGTAGCAATGCTAGTCACATTAATACTTGAGTTTATTAATTGATACTTCTGACAGTTTAGAGGGGAAAAAAGGCAAGTTTAGGAAGTTTCTCTTTGTATAATTCTTTACAGTTGATGCTTTAATGATTTTGGATTATAATCTTTTTGAGTGAGAGTAAAACAACCTTATGTCACAGCTAAACTTTCAAGATTACAAACAAAATACTATTTTTTTTCCTGACCTTTCAAGGCATCCTTTGAACTCCATTTTTTTGGGGTGTGTTTACAATTGACAGGCCTAGTCAGAGCTGATATCCCATACAGTCAGAGGCTGTCATCACTCTTCACTTGAAAAGCATTAGTTCAGAGTTCTCAAGAGCTACACAGCATTGTTGGTACTACACTGTGTGTGTATGTGTGCGTCTTTCGCTTAGCACCATGGTAAAAAAATGATAGAAAGAAGCACATTAAGTACAAGGCACATCAGTAGTAAGAGAACAAACTTGGGTTCTGCTAATGCTGATAGCTGGCGTTTGCAAAAGCCTTTTAATGTTTAAAAAATATACTAAATTTATCCTAGGAGTTTACATGACTTTTTGTCATGGTTCTCATTAATCTCTTGTGTGAAGAGATAGCAATTGCATAATGGAAAACTAACTGTCAGTTGTTAAAAAAAAGCTGATTAGAAACAAAGATGAATGTTAGAAAGATACATTTTAGTGAACTGCTAGGTACAGAATGTTCCTGTGCGTTATCTGAAATGTAATATGCTAGGGAGAAATGAAGCTCACTAAACTGTTGGTGTGTTTCAGTTAGGGCTAGGTTCTATGTAGAAAGGCTACTGGCTCAGGGAAGTAGCAGCTATGTTTATGTGAATTGATGATGTAGTAGTTTTATGTAACCTGTGCCTTTTTGACCCTCAGAATAGAGGAACAGCACCATGAATCTGTTTCAGGTTAAGCTACTGATACTGCCTTGTAGCTTCTTTACTGAACTTCCATGTTTGCTGAAATCATTGCAAAAGACTACTTTTTTTTTTTTTTTTAACCAGAAGTGGGAAAAGTGCACTGAGTCATATATCCAAATTTAAGTGCCATAAATTTTAACTGTTGTTGGTACTGGTAACTTCCATGTGAGTTTTGGAAAGTCATTGGTTGGTTGTTTTTTTTTTTTTTCAGTCTTTATTGTAGACAGTCAAGCTTATTCTCACTTCTGAAGTAAGACACTTTATACGTTTTCTTTGATGAACTTTGATTTAGACATACTCAAAGTCATTGTTTTCCTTGCTTTTAATTAGTGACTGTCAACTTGTATGCCAGAAGTACAATACCGTGTTTAAAACGGCTTGTACTGATTGGGAGTGGATAAATAGTATGTTTCTGGACAGAGAGAGCTTGTGTTTTTATAGACTGTTTTGGGAGGAATTAAATTATTCCAAACATTACAAAGGATAGGACCTACTTTAGAAGAACAGTTGCTTTAAAGTGATGCCTTTGTTAATCCAGAAGAAATTAATCTAAAAATCTGTACTGAGGACCAATTTGTTAGATGTAATACAGAGGAACTATATGGCAAGTATATGTGGTTTAGCAGTAGTTTTCAGTCTTCTAATGTCACTCTTAAAAAAGACTGAGTTTTTATCTGTTAACATACAGGTACTGCACAGAACTTGGAAACCCAGTTATCTTGGACTGAGCAGATTTTACTGCTGAAACAAATTAATTTCTTACAGTGAAGTGCTTCGTGGGAGTTCTAGTTCTTGGTTTGATACTTCCTGATATCTTTTGCTTCAGTCTTACTGAATTTCTTAAATTGCTACCTCTGGATTTTTTTTGTCTCCAGAATAGCAGTAAACCTCAAGTGCTGCCTAAAGAGTTCAGTAGCAGGAATTTCTTTAATCTTGAGAAACTTCTGAAACTTTTGTTAGTAAGAATGTTGTGGATGGGTGTGTGTTCAGACACACTGTCTTCACTATTCTTCTGTACAAACAGAAGAGTCAGAATTTAGGAATGAGACAAAAGTTAGCAGAATGGGTATGAATGTTCGTTCTTTGGCCATAGGTGAGTCTCTTCTTCCATAGATCCTTTGCCTGTCATTGCTTGGATACCTATGTTCAGACCTATTTTGGGTGTCTTGAACATCTCATACTGACAGTTTTAAAACTTAATTCATGGTCTAAATGATCCAGCAATTTTCTGCTAGATAATATAACTTCTATTCGGGAAGGACAGCTGGATTGGCTTAACCATGTAAAGTTTATGTTCCCCAGTAACTGATTTGCACATACTTCATTAAGATTTCCTGCCTAGAATTCTGAAATTCTGTGTGGAGTGATGGTGTTAGCATTAAGCCAGAAACTTTAACCTGAAATTGCCAAAGTCCTTGGTGGAGGAGACTTAAAAACAAGTAGATAAAACCCCCTCAAAATGCTTCCTCTGAAATCTGACACAGTGGAGCTTGCCTTTGTGAATTTAGCTCCAACTGATTGACCAGATGGTGTGATGATGACCAGTATGGCTTCAGGAATCTGAATTGGGTGTCTTACTTCAGTAAATAAGAAAGATTCAGTTTTACTGAGGTAAGCAGTAGAGTCAAATAGAGAAGAGAGGATAATCACTGAGATTCCTTAAATTGTGTATTTTGTCTTGGTATTTGGACGCAAGACTGACTGAGCCAAACAAAATTCCTAACTGAAGTTGAAAGTTTAAAGTTAACATTCTGTAGGTTGTTT